ATTAAGGTCTGACGAAGGCATTATATGCCGAAAGCTCACCAATAAAAGTGTAGAGTATAGAGCTTTGAAAAGTACACAAAACGACAAGAATTCCAAATGAAGCACAGAGATAGCAGTATTTTAAAAAGCCTAGAAATAGTTCAGATCACTTCCGAACGATGCTTCCATGCAAATTAGATAGCGTAAAGCGATCTTTCTTTCAGCTGCCAGTTGACCTTTAATTTGTTTCTTCCTCATCTTTTATGAGTAATGTTGTTTATTATTATCTGGATGATGTATAATGAAGCATACCGGGGCGGAAATCGTACGCGTAAAAGTAGTGTATTGTAATACTTTATCTATCGTCTTAAAACTTGTACATCAAACTACTTGTTCGACTAGTTATACCTCATCTGAAATGAGTCCAGTGCCTTGTTGAGTCCATCGACCACTGAAGGTCCATAGCATTCTTCAAAAGTGTAAAAGCCTGCGGTAACCTAAAAAAGTCTCTTGAAGTCATTTAAAAACATTGACACGAGAACTAATTCTCCTCCTTTTTACGTAATATTAGGTTAGAAGAGAAGTCCTGCAACTCTTTGAGCATGTCCCTCCAGGAAAAGAAACTAAGCCCCTTCCCGAAAGCAATAAAACGTAAACACTAACAAAAAATATTGAATTACAAAATTACAAAATAAATATTATTAAAATTAATTAACCTAAAATTCAAAAACTTGTCTAAAGTGTTGCAAGACTTGTCGTTCAACCTAATAAAAGCTGGGATCGTTTTAAGAAGGGTGTCGGACTCGTTCCTGTACGGTAGCAGGTGTATTTTATTGAAGATGCTACAGGACTCTCAATTTGCGCACATAATTTTCATGATGTTCTTAATTCTTTCAGTTTTCAAATAAACAGGAAACACTTTGTTGTTTTTGCTGTCTGACTGTTTTTGTTTTCGCTTATACTATGCCCAAATTGTTGTCAAACACGAGAAGGAAGGTGTGATAACCTCTGCAACCTATATGTACATACGTTAGTTCAAGCATCGCAGCACCAAGTATCGTCTTTAAGCAGCCTATTCTTTTTCAAAAATTAATCACACGGCCTTCCACACAGCAATAGTGTCCCTTTCCGAAATTTGCGGTTTTCTTATGACCCAAATTTAAAAGCAGCCCAAAACAGTCAGGTCGTCTATGAAGTTGGTTGGTTTGTTATGTACTTATTGCCGACATTGTTTTTTTTTCGTTCTCGAAAAAGCAATTATCTGCTGAGCGGGATTCATGATCTGACTGGCCTAAGGAGAAATGGGACGATATCTGGCTATCTGGCAGATCGACTGCCAAGTGAATTTTGGTAGAGCTGCTGCAAAGAAATGCGCGGCTGAAAGAGTCGAAAAGACATTAGAAAGACCTCTACAGAACTTTTAAATACATCTCTTCATTTTTTGCCTCAATAACTGTACAAATTTCTTGTAACTCAGTTTCGTGTCAGGGTGGTCCCCGAAAGGGGAACTTTTTCTGCAGAAAGAAAAAACATGCGTGAAGTGCAATTTGCTTTTTCCGCTCGAAATCATTAATTTATGAGCTATAAAAGGCGGTCAAAAAGTATGCACGGAAGTGCATAGCCACCTTGAATTTTTTTAAATCAGGATGCTATTTCAACATTTCGACACGCTGAAATTGATAAGTTCAGAAGGTGATGCAGTCTGAGTAGGGCTGCCTAGGGCCCTCTTACGATTTCATATACGAGCCTAAACGCCGCTTGGTAAAGGATCTAATTTTGAACCAATTAAATAGTTGATAATCATTTGGAAAGTGCGAGTTTAACTTCACAGCTTTTGTATGAGCTTTTTCCTGAAAAGAAACGCTCAAAAAGGCTGGTCTCATAGTAATGAAAAGGTGCAACCTCCCAAGTGTTCGGCTGGTGAACAACCTGAAACCAAGCGAATCCGGTGGAATTACAACAGGTGTCTGTAGCGAAAATATGACGTGCACTGTCCTTCTGCAGGGGCCAAAATTATGGTTTTGGACTCCTTCCTCTTACCGCGCTTGCTTTACATCGCTAGCATATCCTTTAGTAAAACGATATAACCGGTTGATGACCGTTGATCGGAGATCATCAGTGCTATCATCCAATAGTTGCTGATACTTTGAGCCGCTACATTGTTCCCTTGGAATGTCTAGTAGGAAGTGATTAAGATAAGATTTAGATTTATAAGATTCAGGACATGTAACGTTGTGAATACACAGCCAAACACACACACGTATACACACCCACAAACCCACCAACACTCCGGCAGACAGATTAAGCAAATTATTTATACTAAGATCATGATATGATATCCCACATCTATAATAAAAAATGGGTGGGCCTGATTCCTTCATAAGCTCCTCCTGAATCTGCCACGTGGTTTCGTGGATGTTTGTTATAAAGCTTGGTATTCTGCTTGCTCTGAGGCTAGCAATAGCGTGTAACTACGAGGTATGTCCAACTAAGCGTTCTTCCTGGAAAGATCAAATGCTCACTATACAGCCTCCAAAGCCGGAAGAGGTTATGGTTGCGAAGACAGGGTATCCATTGAAATCGCGATCGAAAAGAGAAGTACCGTGGNATTAAAATTGAATACGATCATTCGTTCAATCTGTAAGCAGTTTTAGATTCACATAACAAACCTAAAGTCTTAGAACCAGTGATGAGTTGTTGAGTGAAGTTAGCCCAAGATCAAGATGGGGAAGTAGAGATGGGATTGATGATTTAGCTTTACATACCAGTTTTAGTTGGCAATCTTCCTCTCCTTATCAAGCAAAGGCCTCAACTAGTCTGAATGCGTCTTATCAAGCCAAA